GTGCAATTTATCAGGTAGTACGTACAAATGAAGCTGGCAGAATGGTTATAAATAAACCAACTATGGATTGGAAACCATTCATTCGTATTAGCTTTAGTTGCTGTTCTCAATCAGCTCCTAGTTCCCACAGAAACACTCTCAAAACGACTCCACTCCATCCATGCCCATTGTGGCATTTCCGTTTCAAGTCAAGCCAAAAACGATTCAACCACATGCCTTCGCCAGTGACAAATTGAAATAAATATCTCATACGCATTCTGGGACGTTAAGTCTTTGTTTCCTGTGGAATGATACATAAATATGGCCTTCGTTTTGTCAAAGTCATAGGCAGAAAGAGGAAAAGGTAAGAGCTGGAGCCGAGGCAAACGTCTTTTGGGTAAGAAAAGGTCCGAGAGTAAAGGTATTTCTGCCTACTTTCTTGTCCCAAGAATGTCAAACGACCCTGCCGCCTCCGCCCGCTCTCCATCCGACACTTGACAGCGGCACACACAAGACAAAGGATCCACATCCCGGCCAGAAACTGCTGGCATCGATATTCATAAATAATTTGTTTGCCCAGAATGTCCAATCAATTGTTGAATAATTGATTCGGTTACAGCCTCTGCAGCAGAGTCAATCAATTAATAACCATTTTTTTCACAAATGCAATGGCAAATCATTACGATGTAAAAATGCTGTATCCATAAAGCACAATAAAATGATTCCTAATTGCGATTTACATGCGCCATTTCCCACATTTCCCATTACCATTTCCATTTGCAGCTTCAATCAGACCTCAGATATCGCTGTAGGCGTTTATGACTTTTTTGTTTGATGGCTTGTCGGTTTTGTTTGTTTTTTGTGTTTTGCATGTGATTTGAGCTATTTCTCTGTGCCATAAAAATGATTTTTTCATTTGATTGGTGACAGATTTACGGCTAAGCCCATTTGCGATGGTAATTGGTTATGTTATGGGCAGATTATAGGCATTGGGTCTAGGCATTCCATTCTATGGAAAGGTGTGCATGAGATGATCTCCTCGGTTGAGTTATCTTTTGCTGGGAAAAGTTTCCCACACTGCCTCCCGCAATCCATTCCTCCCTCCACGCTCTCCATTCAATCGACAGCAATTGGTGCGGAACTTGCTCCTTCTCTCGAAGTCGTTCAGGCGTTACCGAAAGCATTATTGCCATACGAATTGTTTGTCTGTTTGCACTGTTCAGTGGGTATTTTGTATAGGTTCTCTCTATGAAATCATCGTGCGACTACCTGTTCCCCAGTCGCCAGTCCCAGTCCCCGTGGATGTACTATTTATAGGCAAATGCGCAATATGCCCACGGCACAAGTCATCCCCAAAGTCATTCCGTGTTCCCCCCCGAAGATCAATGACATTGAAGGGGAGTTGGGGCGGAGAGGAAGGAGTGGAAGGAAGGAGAGTGCACGCTTATCAGCAGGTTCTGGTCTGTTGATAAAGAAGCGATGGCAAGTGACGAGCGGCACGATAAATAGAATGGACAGCAATCAATAATGAAGAGTTGGCAGAGCTGGGCTGGGGCTGCTTCCTCAGTCAGTCAGTCATTCAGTCAGTCTGTCAGTCAGTCCGTCAGTCTGTAAGCGAGTGTCAGGGGGGCTTGTGTCTGTTGTATTTACCTGCAATCAAAGCAGTTTATGTTTTACCTTTTTATCCTGTTTGTCAGTCTTGTATGTAAATACAAACAACCACTTGAGGGAAGAGTACAGCGAACCAAGGTACATTCTAGATGGGGTAAGCCAGTCCAGGTAATTCGGTGGCCAAAATTAATGCGGATCAAACCTCTCAGACGCTAAATCGGAAGGAAGGAACCCTACCACTCCAGCATTCAGTTAATCGCTTTGTTTGCATTGGAGTTTTTTTCCAGTGTGGATTGGATTCGAGTTGGATTCGTTCAAGGTTTCCCCCCCCCCGCTGCTGCCAGAGGAGTTCTCTCTATCCCTCTCTCTCTCTCTCTCTCTCTCTCTCCCACTACCGCTTGCATGTCAAATGAACACTTTGAGCGAAAGGTGTTAATAATAACAGAAAATACCAACTAGCAACTGCCTGGTGCAAAACTGGGTTAAAAGGTCTCTTCCCCAATGGGCTGGGGGTGGGGGCATTGCGCATACGCAGCGTTGCAGTAAAGTCGTAAAAAAAATACAAACTACAAATCCAGTAAGGCGGCAGCTGTTTGTTCAATAAAAGCCAAACAAGGCTAGCCTTAAAAAGGAACACAGTGGTGGCCAGACAACGACCCGTGATTGCTCTTTAAGAGAGGGATTGTTCAGGGGAAGAACAATGAATAATTTCAGAACACTTCTTGAAGCAAATGATAGACTTTCTCTGTCTTGAACACCGCTCTGAGACTCCTTCTCTTCCGAGTGTATGAGTATATGACAAACAAATCCCATTAACTCGCACAATTCACATTCACACTGCAGTCAGTCAGTCATTTACACGATTTCTGTGCACTCAATTAAAATGCCAAGTTCAGCGCCTGCCAACATTCGAAAACTGACAGCTGACAGATGGAAATTTACTGCTCAAAGGCTTAAAGGAAGCTAAGGAAAAGCTCCCACCCGACTTGGGTCATGGACTCTGCACTCCAAGCTCCACGCTCCACGCTCCACAGTTGAACTATCAATCATTCAGTGTTCATTTCGCTTTGAAGCAGGTGCTAAATGTGTCAGTTTTAAACGAGCAGAAACCAGAAAGTTCCTCAAGAGTTCCTCAAGGCAGGGAGGCAGCTTCTTCTACCATTTCACAAGTGTCAACGATTTGAGCTGGGAATATGAGAATTATTAATGAGAAATACTTACAGATTACAGAAATAGATTACAGTTTGATGGGGAATGATTTGTTCTATACTTAACCCTTTATTTGTTGGCCTTTTCTGTGCATATAATATTGTTCTTAATAGGGCTTTATCTTTCCTTTCACTTACAGATTTATTTAGCTAAGAAGGAAGTCAACGATTTTGCAAACGAAGGTAAGTTTTTGCCCTAAAATCAATGGGAATACACCTGGGGATAAGGGTGCTGAGCACAAACAACTGTCCTTCTTTGGAACTCTGAATCTAACTGACGAGAGGGCGTTTCAGTTATTCCTACCTGCGGCCTCGATGAAGAGTTTCAGTCTATAATCATACGTAGTAAAAGTTTAAAGTTTCCCATAAGGAATTTCCAATAAAATGCTCCTCTTCTTTTCTGTTGTGAAATACACTGCATACATTTTGGCGTCCCTTAAAAGCAATTTCGCAATTTTCTTTCTCGAAAGTAATTAACGAAATGTACGGATACGAGTATATATTTTCCTTTACACTCAGTTCCCTTTATTCAGTTTCATGGACGCACTCCATGCCTGGGGATTGAACTCTCACCTCGCGAAGAAATGGACGAAATCAGCTGCAGAAGAGAGACGGCCACTGGCTGGAGCCTCCTCTTAATTAATGTGCAAAATCACGCGTCTGCATTTAATTCACTTTGTTGCCTGGGAAAGAGCCCCGCAGAGAACTGCAGAGATGTTGGGGAAAGCCACTCGAGAAATGTGGCAACATTTTTGCACGCATTTGACGGCCTGTCCAAGCGATTGGGCCGCCAGATTGAGCCCCGGCCCCCATCTTGGCCAGGTTCGTCTATTTAAGGGCATTTGCCAGCTTTTTCCCAGCCGTCGCAACTGGCAATTGTCCTTTATGGCCATTCCTTCATTAGGCCCACATCTTTGATGGCATTTTAATGCAATTTTTATGCGCATTTCTGTGCTCTGTAATGGCGCTCTGTCCTGCCCAATCTCTCCTCTCTTCCGCCGATGTGTCACTCTTGCGAGCATGTAAGATGTAATTTCAATTGTAATTCATATAATTCGCTTTATTGTTGTCTCGATGGGCCTTTGTTGTGGCTCTTGGAAGGGAAAGGGAGCGAGTCGAAAGATACAAGTGCTGGGCTTTCGTTTCTATTGTACGGGAAGGTTGCCAAACTTCAGCTGCTGGATAAATGCTTTATAGGTCTCGTCTCTAAAGAAGCTGTGGGAAGGCTTTTTGAAATTGAAAGCAGTCCAACAACATAAAGAAAACACCTTATCAGCGAAACTCGTCTCGAGCACCCGACGTTTTGGTTGGTTTGGAAATTCCAGGGTATTCTCTCTTGCCGCCTTCGTCGAGCCGAACCTTAATGTGCCGTGTCAGGCACACGCCATGTATGTTGCCTAGACTCGAGACCAAAGACAAAGTATAAGGAACTGTGGGTGTATTGCTGGAAATATTGTCAATATTCGCGGTGTTTCGTAAAGGAATATTTTACCATATGCACTACATTAGGAAACAATTCAATTTGGATTAGTTTACATACCGAATTCCTATTCATATATTCCTTTAGAGCAGTAAATTCCACATCAAATGCAATGACAGAACCCAGAAACTTCATTTAGAGTACTCCCCGAATAATATTGCATCTGTTTGCCATCCGGATACTATGCTTAATTAGGCGTGAGGCCCAATTTGATCCATAAAAGCGCATTAAAGACACATAAACTGTTGGCAAGAAGCTAAACAAACATGTGAAAGCGCCATCAAAGTGTCAAAAATGGAACAGACCAAACTAAGGGATCTCTATCTGTGTCTGCATCTGTATCTCATAGTACAAGTATGGTATACGCCCTGGCATGATCCGTTTAGGGGGTTTAGGGATCGGGGGAAAGTCTGCGCCAGACTCCGATGTACATAAATTAGCTCATAATAAAGTTCAAAATAAACTGCGGCGAGGCGACCAGCGGCAAGCCTATAAAAATAGTCTCCAGTGGCAGGGAGTGGGAAAATTAACCGCATTAAACATTTGAGAAGGCATAAATATTCATAAAAAGAAAAGTCTGAATGCAGCTGCCACAAGTCGCCGGCTGGGGGCAGGACCGTGGACTGTGGACTGTGGACTTTTTGCATTTTTCAGGCCGTGCGGAAGTCGACGTGGCGTATGAGTAATGTCCCCCCTCCACCAGGCAAAAAGTGGATACGAAATACATATTGTCAACTGTTTCGGGGGACCCGAATTTATTGAATTTGAGTGATAGTCGCCAACTAGTAGGCCATGACATCGTGGACTCGTCGGAAGCGCTCGCCCGCCTTCCGCAGCGTCGTGCCACGCGTCTCCGGCATGAGGATGGCAAAGGCCACCAATCCCACGACCAGGAGAATACCCACGACCACGAAATACTTGTAGAAGTACTCCGCCGAGATGGAGCCGAAGGTGGCGATCACAACGATGTGGATCACCTGCTCGACGCACACGATCAGGCCAATCAGGAAGGGCTTCACGCGCAGCGGAAACGCCTCCCCCAGATAGGCCGACGAGCTGCAGACATAGACGCCCGCGAACAGCTGGAAGCCCATGCCCAGATTGGCCACCTGCCGCATGTAGTAGGGGCTCAGGATGTTCGAGTAGTCGCCGTAGATCCCGGCCATGCCCAGCATCAGTCCAGCCATGCACATGAGTGCCAGCAGCGAGACGAACTTGCGTCCGACTGTGTCCAGAACGGCCATCGTGATGAGGGAGCCCAGCAGGCGGAGCGCGCCGAACACGATGCTCGGCCAGGCGTAGAAGGTGTTCTCGAACATGTAGGTGCTCGTCTCTATCGACCAGGAGAGCGGCAGCGAGATGGTGAAGGCCACAAAGCCCCGGAAGAAGAGCATCTTGATGAAGGGCATCATGGATTCGGCGATCTGCTCGCCCACGTTCTGGCTGGTGCCCTCCACCACATACAGCTTGGCCTCCTCGTACGCCTTATTGCCCCTCTCGACGGTCCACCAGCTGTCCATCAGCTGCCGGATACTGGCCCGGGCCCTGTCCTCCTGGTTCTGACGGATGTAGAAGATGGGCGACTCGATCGCCATGGCCACACTGCCGATGGCGAAGGCGGAGAAGACAATGCCGAAGATGCCGTGCACCCGATTCACGGCCATGCCCAGGTCGCCCGCCCACTGCGAGTCGTAGATCACCTGAATGGCGATGCCCAGGCTGAGGCCGTACTGCTCCAAGGCCGAGCAGGTGCCGCGACTATTGCTGGTGGAGATTTCCGCACTGTGGATGATGAAGGGTACCGTGATCAGGCCGATGCCCACGCCCCCCACGTAGCGGGCGGCCAGAATGGGCTCGTACTCATACGGAGCACTCACAAAGATAATGGCATCGATCAGGTTCATAATACTGCCCAGACCCTGGAGAAACATTACGGGTTAGAGGGGCATCTATCTATCTATCTGTTTGCACACTTACATAGAAGATCTTTTTTGGGAGAAAGGACACCGCCACAGCGGAAACAAGAGCTCCGATGATGAATCCGATGAACCAACTGAACTGGAACTCCGTGGTGGTGGGAACATTCGCGTTCAGATTCCAGCCAAGGCCTTGGGCCATGTCCATACCGGCATAAACAAAGGCAAAGGTGGCTAAATGGTGGAGAGGTTGGAGTGGATTAGTTGGCTTTGTTGCGGCTTTGTTGTGCTTCGTTTCTATAGATTTAACCCAAATAGGCAGCCATTCAGTTCTAGAATCTACAGCAACACCTGGCGATGTTTAGGGACCTGTTTATGGTGGAACTTGAGATCGAAATGGAATCTGAGATATGGCTAACCTTCTATTATTTTGGTCTGTCGAGTGTCAATCCAACCACAGATCGAACCAAGACCTCTATGAATTCACATGCTACCCCGCAGAAGGAATCTTGTTGGTTGGCTTAAAAGGCTTTGTGTTTTGGTAACACTTTTATCAGAAGAAGGAGGGTGTCTTTTAAATATAATACATTCCAGCTACCGAAAATGATAAGGAGCTACTGATAAGCACTGCGATACTCGTATTTGTTCGGTTATGGGTCGTAACCCTGAGTTCCTGAGGAACTTTTGGGCACTCTCTCAAGCTGCTCTCCCTGCTGGCCCACCTGCTGTTCCAGTTTTCGTGGCCGTCTTGCTCCAGCGACTCCCCTGATTGACGACCACCACATTGACCACATTGGGTGGCGGTGGCGGTGGAGCCCGTCCTGTGGTGATGTACGTGGTCTGCGTTTGTTGTCCTGGGACGTAGTTGGTCACCGGCACCGCGGTCACATACGTCGTGGTCGACATGTTTCTTCGTTATATAAGAAAAATGCGTTTGCAAATTGAATTTCCGCTTCAAGACCCGTTCGATTCGTTTGATTTGGCGCCTATGGACGTACTGGGCGCGTATTTATAATTTTATTGTACTCAACCTACAAGTGAATACTATCAGCATTATAGATATCTGACCAAGAGATACTCGTAATTGATATAGTATTTTATCAGCTGCTAGATACACGCGTATCGTACACTCCCCCAGCTACTTCTCCTCGACCGTGATTCATGGAAATTAAGCCTTGATAAGTCTCCCTAAAGAGTGGTAACTTGAGGCCAAGCCACTGACTCACTCACTGCCTGCTGGCTGCCGTCTGCCGTCTGGTGTCCTAGTCGTTTTGGTTAAATTGATCGTTCCAGCTGGGCCAAAGTTCACCTTTCACTGGGGTGAGACATTCGTAGTGTGTGTACCATAGGGGGTATCCCCAATTAATTGGGGTCCCTGGGAAAGCCTAGGTACCAGCTACTGGAGGGTGACTGGCTGGCTGATTTTTCCAGGGGTACACGAGCTCGATTCCTACAAGTGTTGAGATCTTAAAGGCAAAGTCCACACTTTTTGGGTTCAGAGTTGAGTTGAGACCCACGAAAAGGATATATAGTTACTCCAATCCAGCCAGTAGTACTCGATAAGGGTTTTTCTCCTCTTGTGTTTTGCTGTCGTACTTTTGAATGGCCTTACAGATCTTTTCTCCCCTCACACCCAATCAGTCATAAATTATTGAAATTTTTCACTTAAATTTAGGAATCGTGTTTGTGTTACTTAAGTGTATAGAAGACTATTCTGAGCTATTCTGATTACCAACAAAATGCTAAAAAATATGGTATATTTCATCAAAATATAATCAGTTATAAGCTACTAAGCCTTTTTAATATCTGTTGCGAACTGTTCAAATGAATTAGGTGTTTTCATTTGAATGTACAAACATATGTAGAATTTCAAGCGTTCCCAACGAGTCTTTCTAGGGAATGTCACACCAAAGACTGATCTAAATCTAAGTACATTTATTCGAAAAACAGCTGTTTCTTTATTTATTTTCCATATTGATATGATCCTTAGCTGAAAAGAAAATTTCCTAGAACTTCTAAGAGTCTTCCCCCGCGCAGACCTCACTTTTTTAAGGAAACTACGAGGGCTGGCCTGTTCATTTCCCTACTCCAATTTAAAAATTTGGAATTTTTCCCCCCTTTTTCTTTGGCTCGAAACAAAAATGCTGTTATCGACGGTATGGGTATTTTATAGCGATTCAAATGCCACCAAAAGTTAGGAACCTTTTAGAAACTGTTCTTTTTTTGCTAGAGAAAAGTAGGAAGATCAATTCTGAGTAGGACATAACCCTTTTATGGACGGACAAATACGGATTTTACCCCACTCAACAGACTTTTTGAGAGCCAGCAAAACCAAATGAAAAATTCATATTTCCTTTTGTATTTCTAATAGTTTTATTCAACATTGATCCTCCATCGATCCAACCATTCTTAACGGTCTAGTAGGGGTCTAGTAGGGGCTTACATTATGCACTCGCTGGAACCGCTCGCCAGCTTTCCGAAGTGTCAGTTTCTTGGTCTCCGGCATGACGATGGCGAAGAATATCACGCCCAGCAGCATGATAATGCCCACGATCAGGAAGTACTGGAAGAGGTAGTCCGTTGTGGGCTTGAAGGCGACTATCACGATGATGTGGATCACCTGCTCGCAGGCAACGATCAGGCCGACGAAGAAGGGCTTGACCCTCATGGGAAACGCCTCGCCCAGATAGGGGCTGGAGCTGCAGATGAAGAGCCCGGCGAAGGCCTGGAAGGCCAGTCCCAGGTTGCACACCTGCCCCATGTTGTACCAGCTGTAGATGTTGGCCGGTGTAGCATATATCCCTGCCATGCCCAGCATCAGGCCGGCCATGCAGAGCAGGCCCACCAGCGAGACGCCCTTGCGTCCCAGCGTGTCCAGGGCGCAGACGGTGAAAAGGGTGCTGATGAGACGTAGCGCGCTCCAGACATAGAGTGGCCAGGCGAAGATGGAGCCCTCGGAGATCGCAGTGCTTCCCACGATGGACCATGTCAGGGGCAGGGCGAGGGTGAACGCCACGAAGCAGCGGAAAAAGAAGAGCTTGCAGAAGGGCATCACGGAAGCGGACAGCTCCTCGCCGAGGCTCCTGCTCTCGCTCTCCACCACATAGAGCCTGGCCTCCTCGAACAGCGCGTTGACGGTCTTCGGAACGTTGCCGGCCACAAGCATTTGCTGGCACTGGCGGGCCTTCTCCTCCTGATTCCGGCGTATATAAAAGACGGGCGACTCCACGGACACCAGGACAAACAACAGGCCAAACACCGAGAATATAATCCCTAAAATGCCGTGCAGCAGGTTCGCGGATATATCCAATGACCTCGACCATTCTGTGTCGTAAGTGACTTGGATGCAAAGGCCCATGGCCAGGGCGACCTGCTCCATCGCTGAGTCAACGCCGCGTGTCTGGGTGGATATCTCGCCGATGTGCAGGAGGAAGGGCACTGTGATCAGGCCAATGCCCACTCCGCCCACATAGCGGGCGGCCAGAATGGCCGTGTACTCGTAGGGGGCACTCGTGAAGATAATGGCACCCGTCAGCTGCATAATGCCACCCAGGAGCTGCACGAGAATGAGGACAGAGAGAGAGAGAGAGAGAGAGTGTGTGTCAGGATCCAGCCGATCGTAGTGGATCGTAGTGGATCGTAGCTTACTCACATAATAGGCGATCTTTGGGATGAACGTCATTGTCAGAGCAGACACACAGGCTCCAATGATGACACCGATAAACCAGCTGTATTGGTATTCGGGCGATACGAGAATAACGCTAACGGGCTGATTCCAGCCGACACTTTGGGCCAAGTCCATGCCTCCGTAAACCAGAAACCAGAAAACTGAAAATCAACAAGGAATTTTCCACACATTCCATGCGATCCATGATTGATTATGGACTCACTTGCTGATGACAGGAGCGATCTCCGATTGGTATTCCGCAAGAATCGCGTTTGTGTCACAGTCACAGTCACCGTTTGTTGGGGTTGGGGCGCACATCCTGTGTTGCCGCATGGGGCGGATGGTGCATAGATGGCGTCCGTCTTGAGGTCGGGAGCCGTTGTTGCATATATGGTCGTCATTCCGCTCACTTTTCACGGATAGCCAAAAAGCGGAGCAGTTGAAACGACGTCTTCGGGGGTTCGTTCGAAACTGGGGCTTGCTTTTGGCCATTTCTTCGCATTTAAATGTGACACCCGCGATACCTGGTATCTGGCTATCATTACAGATAATGCGTGTGATAGATAATTGCCAATGTAATCAGTTTATTTTTCGATTCCTTTTGATTCGATTAGGTGGGGTGTGTACCTGGAATTGGTTGCCTGTTCACTGAATCACCGTCAAACAGCAACAGGGTTCTTTTTTTAGTGCCCTTCCTATTCTATAAATACAGTACATTGGTATCCGACAAGTCTGATAAGTCTTCTACTGGTTCCCGAAAAGTTGCACCACTCTCTCGATTAATTTGGTGCTAAGCTTTTGAAACTATCTTTTAAGTATTACTAAACCTTTTAATTCCATTTATGCCTAGTATTCTTTGCTTTTTGTGGGGTATCTATGTATCTATTGCCTGGTCTGTGGGACTCCTCTCCCATTGGCTTGTGACACAGCGCCTGTCTGGCGGTCTGGGTGTTGCAACAACCGTCAAGAGATTAGCAGGCAGCGGCAGCATCATCTTCATAATTATTCCATCGGGACGGGGCAACACTCAAGTGCTTGCTTGAGTTGTCTCAAATTGCGTAATGTCTGAACTGACATTGCCATTTCCATCCACTGCTCCATCCACTCCACTCCATGGCATACCATCAGCCAGCCAGCATCTTCATGGGCCAATCTATCTTGTTGCGCCTCAAACTGTCAAATCTGCCTGCCTTTGGGGGGGACTAGAGAGTGCCGAGAGCTTAGAGTGTCGACTGGGTGCTGGAGAAAAGCGAAGACAGACAGACTGTTGCCTGTTTCTTGTCATTTGTCGCTGCTCCTCGACAAATTAGCCAAATGCGACGCCAGTTCCAGTCACACATCCCCAATCTGCAAACCCATTTCTGAGAGATTCAAGTACATTTTAATGAGTTTATGCATAAAGTTGTCTAATGGCGCACAAATTATGAACGCCACCAGCATGTAGGGACACACAGATATGGCTGTAGATGGAGATACAAATGGATATAGAGATGCGAGATGCCAATGGAGCACATGGCACATGAGAGCACTTTGCCTTTGCCTTCAGGAGAAACTCTGTGCGGATTCTGGATTCTGGTGGCTGATGGCTGGAGGCTGATGGCTGGAGGCTGATGGCTCGAGGCTGATGGCTGGTGTCTGCTGTGCCAACTAATGGAGTCTAATTACTCTGGCCGACAGACAGTACCCGTCAAGCGCGACGCGAATCTCTGGGCTAATAAAAATGTATTAAGGCAGCGAATAGACACAAGACACATTCTTGGACAGTCATTTATTCTTTGTCAAATAAACCATATGCTGCTGCTAAGCCTTTGCCTTGCGGTTCCCTATTTGGGCCCTGTTAAGCGGCTGGCCAGCCGTCTCTGCATATTCATGCGGTGTAAGTTCTGGCAGCACTTGACCACCAGAATGAAATACACGCATTTCATGGATGCCCACAGCACTTGCTTCCAGTGGCGGAGGTACGTGAGAGGCGGGGGCCTGGCGGCTGCTGGTGGGGGGGGCATGCTGGCAGTCAGACAGGAATTTAGTTTACCGAGAATCGAAACATCAGTGTTGGGTTTGTGTTACACAAAAATCATTTCCCCAAATCGATCAAATAAAATATAAACAAAACTTTTGGTTTTTTGCCGAGCCAAATATGATTTATTAGCTTTGGAGCGTGAATCATTTTCTAAATATAAAAAGTAATAAGTAAATTCATTTGAAAATTCACAGTGGAAGTAGAGCAAAAAAAAATTTTCCTATGTTTCCGCCCGGGATTGAACCGGGGGCCTTCCGCGTGTTAGGCGGATGTGATAACCACTACACCACGGAAACATCCTCGAGGGTGGCCACAAAAATTGCGATTTTCAAGGCGAATCATAGGGAATCCAAGAAAGCTCTGTGGAAATCATGGAAAGTTATGTAAAATTAGAAATAGTCCCATGAAAACTTCTAGAAAAAAGCCCGGAAACATCCTCGAATTCTAGCCCTGAGAATAATTGAAATATTTAAATTAGTAAAATAATTAAAAATAAAATTAATTTTATATTAATAATTATTAAAATTTAATTTATTAATTAATTAAATAAAATTAAATTCGAGTAGATCAAATATTAAAATTGCAAAAACATTAAAAATAATCAAAACACCAAAAGAATTAAAATAAAATAACATTTAAAATAAATAAAATATAAATATAATAAGTATCTCTCCCTTCAATGCTGTTCAATTTTTGTCCGGGGAAAAAAAGAGGAGTCTTGCCGAAACCCGGGATTGAACCGGGGACCTTTAGATCTTCAGTCTAACGCTCTCCCAACTGAGCTATTTCGGCTGTTGCATCTCCTTCAACATCCAAAGCATCGAAAGCTAAGGGATCCCCATCCACTCTACCTACATATATGTATCTATTGAATACCTTTTATAAAGGAAACGCAATCTTGAAACTTGGACTGCGCGTAAAAATAGGTTCACAGTAAAGTTCATTTAATTTTTCTGTTTTGCTATTTATAAATCGGCATTTCTGCGGGCCATGCCAATTTTTTGGGCTGTCACAATTTTTGACAGTCGCAAAGATTTACGTTGACACTTGCAACGTCTTAAAAGCTCCACAAACAACAATCGGGGCGGGGGAAAGTCTCTATGCAGCTGCGGATTTTTTTATAGCGGAAATTTCAGTGAAAATTCGTTCGAAATTACGTTAATTGTTGCATTTGTAACATTTTATGAGCCCACGGAACGAAATCTACAGCGAAACGAGGCGTGACTTCTGACGGGCAGGGCAAGGCTAGGCTGAAATTAATTTTCGTTGATTTTTGTGTGTTTTCTTTTTGTTTCTTTGGCAAACTGTCAGAATGTGTATGCTCGTTCTTTGAACTTTCGAGGAAATGGCAAGCAAACAGTTTTCAATGGCAACCGAATCGGTAGAATATGAAAAATGGTCTATATATGGGGAAATTCATGGAGAGTCATTCAGTAATCAGCAAATTTGTATATTGATTGGCACTTCCTGCCTGCTAAAATTCAGAAATTTCCCTCAAGTGAGTTACGACAAATGAAACAGAAAACTGTATGCGAAAAGTTTCAAGAAAATATCATTTTGATTCAGTGAATCGAATGAGTCAGTAGGACAAGGAAACAAACAATATAATCGCCTATATCGTGGAATAAATGTTTCCCTGTCAAGATCCAACCCTTTTCTGCATTCCTCAGAGTATGGAAAGTGCCGCAGTAACCTGATAAATTCATTCGAAATCAAAGTGCCAGGCCCAATGCCTCTGGCTGGGGCAGGGCTCGTGCTCGTGTCCCTCAAAAGCTGTGGCCTTGTGCTCGCCTGGACATAACCTGATCCCTCTCTATATGTATGTATATATGGCCTGTCTGAGGCGAGCACCTTTTGTGCTCAGTGTATCTGTGGCAGCCTGTGTGTGTGTGTGTGTGTGGTGTGTTTGTGCAACTAATGCGGCTTCCGTTTGACGCCCGGCGCTGAAAACTGAGCCTCCAAACGTACCTTTTGGCCCGGGATCGGATCGTCATTGTCTGCGGCCTCTGCTGCTTTTTGGGGGCTCTGTTAATGATTCACATTCTTGAAAACCGATCGTGTGGCAGACCGAAATTCCTCTGAAAACCAAGCCATGCCCCCACGTCCACGCCCCGTTGTCGATTTATGATTTATGGCCAGTCGCCTGCCCACAGATTTCATATTTTTTGCCTGTGTTTTTGACCACTGTCCACCATTTAGTCCAAGGCGAGCAGGTTTTTATTATTCTTCTCTTTTTTTTTTCTTGCATTTGTTAATATTAATTTAATTGTGATACTTTTTTTCGTGTGTCATCGCCGCGAAAAATTTCAAAATTTCAGACAGTCTGGAGGCAGCAATTAATTGTGTTTTATTTTCAGCGGCGAGCAAACAATGACAACAACAGCATTCCTCTGATATGTCAAGAGAATGCTTAACATTTTCGCTAGAATTTCTATTTTCGCTCGGTCACAACTTTGGATGGGGTCCCCCCTCTGAGGGGCCCGTCTGCTGAGGGACCAGACCTTGAGAACCCTTTAAAGACGGGAATTCAAGGGAGAGATCTATAGCAAAAGGTGAACTTTCATTTGAACAGATCCCCCAGGGGGTACAAGTGCAAATTGTGCCAGAAATCGATATCTGGCACTACCCAAGCCTTACTCGTACGACATTCGGCCTGGCTAAAACTGATATGTAAATGTCAGGCAACCAAACCAAAGGGAAGTCCTTTACAGCCCAAGCCCCTTTCCAGTTGGGGACACTTTTTGCTGGCGCAAGTCGCCTTTTTATCCAGCAGTTTATGGCAATTGCATTTCCACCATTTCCATCGCTAAGTGGGTCACAATTTGATTTGATTTGTTTATGGCATAACAACAGGAACAACAACCAAAGAACTGAATGGGAATGGTGAAGGCTCAGGAGAAGGGGGATTTATTTATGATATAGGTAGACTCCACTCCCCTGGGTAATTGCCTTATTAGGGCAATTGTTGGGGAATACTGCAGAAGGAGTTCTCTATTGCCACTGGAAGCTCTCTGCAGTTCACTTTTAACCTTTACCAGCGATTTCGAATACGAGGGGGACGAAAGGGCCAGGGGAGGCCTTCTTGGCCATAGCTTGTAATTGAGTTAATTGCACAAATTCTTGTTTTTTTCCTTATAGTGTTTTTATTATGAATTGCCTTGGCAAAACTCCGCCAGCAGCTGCAAAATAAATTACCCAAAAATGTGTAAAACAAATTGCCAAAGACAGGTATTAAATATGAACAGAAGTTTGTTTGTGGTTTTCTTTCGCGTTGATTAAGAATGAATAAATTTCCACTTGGCAGTGCAAGGGAAGTCGACTCTGTTGAATACTCGTAAACCGCTGACTGAATGATATCTCTGGTTTCTGGTCATTCGCCTCTGCCTGGGAACTGGCCATAAATTGAGTGGACAGCCAAACTGAAATCTCAGCCA